ATTATATCTGAAGACTCTGTAGCTTAAACTTGTTTGTAGTGGCCTCCAGGCTGGTAATATGTTTATCTTTTTGTAACTGGGGGTAGTGACATGCAGAGCACCTTCCAGACTCCACTTGGTACAAAAAGGAGTAGGGAGAGTGGAGACCCTCTCAGGGATCAAATTCTGTCTTGTACCTCTACTGGAGTCACAATTAACAGAAGAAACTCTTGGGCTAGACTAGAACACGACAAAAATACAGAGACAGATCTACCTTTCTGTGTCTGTTATATCACAGTCACACTTGTGTAGAGTGAGGAATGCAATCTGAATCTGCACTGCCTGTCAGCCCTCTTCCACACCCATTCCTCCTTTTTTTCCTTCTTTTTTTTTTCCCCTCTGTGTATCTCCCCATAGTGTACAACTATTCTTTGTATCCAATTTACTTGTATATATAGTGCTTTTTATGTGTCTGACTGCTGTGTAATGCATATAAACACTGGGTGGTTTTTATGGAGAAAGCCCTGCCATGTGTTGTAAGCTAAAATCAAGCTAGCAGGCATTGTCTCTGCTTAAACAAATCTAGCAGACTGTTATCTAGAGGAGGGGAGTGTATTCACTGTGCTGTAGTTTTCCATTAGTGTTCTACTATTCAGTGCATATTTTAGCAATTCCTTTTCATTTTTTTTGATTCCACTAGTCAGTAATTGACATTTGTTTTCTCACTGTCATGACCTCAGGCCTGGAGGCTCAGCTCTTGTTGCAGTCAGCTGCCATCACTCAGCAACTAAAAACTTCCTGCTTAAATGCATTAACATTATTGAACAAAACGTGTAGGCCCTCTTAGGCTTCAAAGGAATGGAAGTTAGAGCTGCCTCTGTAATTGTCAACAAGCCCTTGTGTATCCAGGGCTGGTGAAGATGGAGATCTCTGATTTTTTCTGACTCCGTTACAGCTCCACTAAAATCACTTGTGCTTACCAATGTAGGTTTATTTTTTTCCTTTATATTTATAGTCAAACAACAGTTTATGCCCAGTTTAGAGACTGGAGCTGGGAACAGCTCAGTGAGCTGGTTCTGTGGCCTGGGATGCTCTCTGGTTTGTCCCCTTTGACTGGAACTCTACTACTGTTCCTAAAAACTAGATAGGTAGGTGTTAACTCACATGAGACTCCAGGGCAATGCAGATTGAACCCTGGGACTGTATTTAGTCTACTTCTGTAACTGTCAGTTAGAAATAAAGAAAAATATTAAAGAGCAGACTTCTCTTCCTTGGATTAATTTTTCTGATTATCTTGTATTTATTTAGTTGAAAATTAATCTGTGACATTTTAATGGCTTTCATTACAGAGTTTGCAGTATACTCACTTGTTATTTCATATTCTGCAGTGATTAATTAATTTAGCTAAATTCATAGGGAAGGCTGTAATTGCTGCAGTCTTTGAAACTGAATTCTCATAACGAAATAGTGGTAGGCTATGAGTCATTTAGGAACAGTTTCTTTACGGAAGTTGACTTTCAGATATAGAATCTGAAAAAATTCTTTTTCAATCGTTTTCTTCTCTATTGGATTTGTCTTCAAATTAGATTTTGTAGATTCATCATTTAGAAATTAAGTTATACTCTGTAGTGTGTGCATGCATTCACTCAATGTAAAACACACAGGAGGGGCAGATACTCTAAAGATACAGATAAATTACAGTATCCCATGTCTTGATTATAATTTCGAAAATAATTTAAAATTTCTTTCCTGAAAATTCATTTCCATGAATTTTTGATACTACAAGTCAATCACATATACCTGGTGCCAAAATACAAACACAATGGTGTGAAAATACCATCAAAATAAGCACGTGTAAATAACTGAATGCTTTCCAACACTTGCCCAGCTATATTTTACAAATAACACTGAATCCATTTATGTTAATTTTATGTCTGCTAGCTGCATTTAATACAATAATTTAATATTCTCCACATATTTGTTCAGCTCTTTAGATTTCAAGGGATTTGTAAGAAATGTATATTTAATTCAGACTAATACAGTAATGGTAAATTATTATTCTGTTTTCAGTATTTGCCTACAAATTTGATTTCTACAGTCACTAGCATGAGAATATCAATGAAAACTGGTAAAAAAAATAAACCAATAATTTTCATTATTTTTCTCTAATATTTCTGTTCTGTAAGCTTCTCAAGTAATTCAGTAGAGTGATGCTTCCCTAAGCTAAATGGTAGCACTTGCACATGCATTTCTTAAATTCTTTATGAAATCTCTTAGTTCTTCTAGCACACAGACAAACTTTTTACGAGTACTTACAATCCATAAAATATGTCTTTAGGGGGATTTTCAGTGATGGAAGATAGGTGACATAAGGAAATTTAAATCTTACTGAAGTCTAGATTTAGTTGTATTGAAAAGATTATAGATAGGGAGGAAATAATTTGAAAAATGTTTTCATAAATTGTTGCTGGGACTGGTTGAACCTCTTGGTTATGGCCCAATACTCATGAATTTATTATTTTGATGTAAATTTAACTCCCTAGAAGAGACAAAGAGTATGAGGAGCTGAGCACATCTAGTTCCATCTCCAGTGTGTTTCCTTTGGTATTTTAGTAGCTTCCTGGGTTCAGTCCATGTGAAAAGGAAAGGCCAGTTCAAGTGCTGTGTTCTTAAACGTAGGTGTTGTTTAAACATGACATTAGACAGAAATTAAATTAGTTTAGATAAGTTGCTTTAGGTTTCCGAATGACAGCTAGTGTTAGCTTCTTATATTTATGTATTTAATTCACACATTACTAATTCCCTTTTTTGTCAGCTATTAGCTGTGAAACACTTTGAGGAAAATTCAAGCCAGTTCCTATATTTGGTTATTACATTTCCATCTTAGAAAACAAAATAAAAAGGGCAATAATCTCTCTCTCAACCCCTATTGAAGTGTTATATAAAACTGTCAGTCCTGAGTATACTTGTTAACTTGAAATGCTGTCATATCACAAGCTTCTCTAAATATATTTGTTTTATTCAGGTGCACTTCAAATGGTTCCTATGTAGTAACAGTTCCTTGGAGAATGGAAAATTTGTTCTCCAATTAATCTTGCTGCTCTTCCCCATCTTTCTTTTCTCCTTTATCTCCCTAAGTGTGTGTATTTATATTTGCTATCTTATCAAACCAGTACAAATGGAATTCCAATTAGAGTTTTGATTACATCAGTTGTTACTGAGAAGTGACACTGCAGAACCAGCTGCTGTCAGTTGACTAAGTTTAGCTCAGTTGAATTCAGAAAATTTTCTCATAAGTTGAAAAGATGTATTTTTTTAAAATGGAATGTTTACTTCCCTAGAAGAGATTACAAACATTTTAAAACACCACTGAAAACTCTTCCTTATCAAGCATTTTGACTACATGAAATGTGTGAGTTCCAGCTGCTTGTGCTACAGAATTGCATATACTTGTATTTTGATTCATAACCATGTTGAAAACAGTCCTGTGGTCTAGAGTTAACATACTTCCCTCTTATCTTCCACTTGACAAATTTTGATATAGAAAGGAAATATTTCTCTGTTAAAAGCAGTGAAACATTAAAGTGCACTGTGGGAAGCTGTAGATTAACAGGACTGGCTTTATCAGCTTGCCTGATCACCCCTGATTACACATTAGTGTGTGCAGCTGAGGAGACCACTAAGAGCATAACTGACCTCCTTCACTAATTCAGTTGTTACTCCTTTGTAGGTGAATCTCAGGGATAAACAGTTAAGTGGGTGCTGATTACATTATGCACTAAAACGTGTGCCATTTTACAGTAGAATAAACAGCTACAGAAAAATATGATGGAAGTGCTCCAGGGAAAAAACCCAGAAGCTGTTTACTCCAACCTTTCTGAATTCACAGAGCCACAAATGAAATATTGTGGAATTCTCTTTGCATTTTATCCACAACAGTGTTACATAGCAGGAACCACCTCATGTCTTCATTATTTCTCTTTTTTATTTGAAAATGAGTCTGCTGATGTTTTCTTACATTATTTTTTGTTAACTGTTAATAGATTCTGTGTTTTAAATGTCATCTACTGTTGACACTTTGGGCTATACCTTGCAGAAAGAGTTAGGAAGCATTGGACTTACAAGCAGAAATTTCTGAGGAGGCGATATTATACTCAGATTAAATCCTCTTTAATTTGTTTGAAGTTACAGGTGCTACACCTGATACTATTAAAGTTACAAAATCTGAATTAAGAAATCGCTTCATGTCTACACTGATGATTACATTTTAAGATGTGAAATTATCAGCATAACTTTTCACATGCAAAAGTGGCTTTGTGAAGTGATGAGTTAAAAAATGTCCCCATCAAGAGGTCCCTCTGCCATCACATGTTCTGCAATGCCTATCAGCAGGATGTGCACTAATAAGATAACCTGGGTCCAGCCCACCCTGATATGATCTTAGTGGAGCATTGTTAACTCTCTAAAGGCTGTGCAGATCTTCTCTGAATGTCTAAATATGACAAATCTACTTTTTAGTATTCACGGAAGAGGATTAAGGGTGTTGAAAGACCTCCTTAAAATCTCTTTTAAATATCTCCCAAAAGGTTCTCCTGGAAAGAATCTGGTTTGCCTCTATGGAGTCATGCACCACATTTTTAGAAGGCTGGCATCAACATTCCAGCTACGTCATGTCCTCCCTTCCTCTTAGTTATTTCTTCCCTGAAGCAAAGCTGCAACTCCAACCTGTGTAACTAGAAACACTTGTGACCAAAACCAATGACAAACCTGTATAATTACAGAACACTATGTGTATTATTACACAACATTATATTATATATCTATATATATATCTACCTAATTTATTCTATTTTTTAAGACACCGAAATGCCAACTCTTATACTTATAAAACAGCCAGATGATAGACAGTGCAAATCTTACTTTAATATATTATAAAGTTATATAGTAAGCCCACTGCATGGGCTTCACATGCACATAAACCCAATAGTTACATAAATAATATCAAATGACAAAACTAGAAAGCAGTTTCTGCATACTTTATTTTACAATTCCTCACTAAATATATTTACAGGACACAGAGTTTGCTTTAGTGCAATACATAGTAATGTTGCATAAGTACAAACTGTTGAACATTTCTAAAAAAAAAAAAATAATTAAAGAAATAAAGCACTTAACTGATGTTACAGCTAAGTATGTAAAGCAACGTTATAACTCTGAGTGAAAATGCTCACAGCATCTTTTCTTTTCATAAACAATTTCTAGAAACAAACCACAAACCGGCATTACATATCCCAAACTACCAAACCTTGTACAGTACCATATCATTTAAAAAATGACTTTTTAAAAGCACATATACTGTACTGTACAGCAATCTGTTCTACAGATACTGACTTACTCTTTAATACAAATATGATATTACCATGGCAGTTTTGAAGAACAAAGTTATCTCAAGATATCAAACATCAGTAACAAACTCTGGTAAGCACAGCTTCTTGAGGACCTGCTTTAACAGCATTTCTTCACAGTGATATTTATGAAAGGTTGGAAAAGAGATTAGCATAAAATATTTCCATCCTTTTTCAGTTTTTATGCAAAAATCATTACTTTATATTGGTAATTATAAAATTACAAACACTTTCTATAAGTAACTGCATCTGTAGTAATGATAGAAAAAGTTATCAGTAAGACACCTAAAATGAGGCTTGGATAAAATGATAGTTTGAAGAAAACTAGGTACCTCATTTGTAAAATAATGGTAAAGGAGGTAACTTAATTTAGAATAAGCAACACAGTAATTTAACAGAGACAACCTATTAATCAGTTAAAAAAGCTAATTATTTATTAATAAATGTTAAAAAATAAAGGAATTGTGATGAGGTGAAATCAACGTTTCAAAAGATCTGATGAAACATTTACTCTTAGTTTTGGCACTTCATTGGAACAATTACTTTACCAAAGACCAAAATATGTATAAAAGATATACAGCTCCTTGACATACCTTGCAAATATAGTACATAAGTACTGGCAAACACTGAAAACATAGTTAGTTAAACATTCCCACAGATTTGCACATGCATGCACTATTCAGACAACAGCATTGTATCTATGTTCTGGCGGTGACAATCTTGCATTACTCGAGGATTTTAGGCCGTTTCTTCAGCAGATCTTGTTTCTGTTTTAAGTCTTACAAACTCTTTAGCAACTTCATCATTGTTCCTCTGAGAAAGTATCCTAAGAATGGTTAGCCCAGTCTCATCCACGGAGATGTTTCTCAGCAGGGGGTACCAGGAGGCACAGCTCCCTTTCTCCGCGATGCTTTGCAGCTGAATGACTGTCATTCCTATAATTCGGTCCTCCCGAGCAAAGCAGTAATCTTTCACTGACAGGTGAAGTTCGTAGGCTCCTGGCTTATCTTCATTACTCAGCATGCTGTGTGGATTAAAAATTGTGAATTTAGAACAAGGAGTTCAGTTGAATTCCCCCAAGGAATGAATTCGCTCTAGAAATCTTGGAAAAATTAAAGTGATAGTGGTAGTTTAACTTTCATTGTTCCATTTTGTTGCAACAAATATAATTTAGTTTTAAACCTCCTACATGTTTAATTTCTCAGATGCTACTGGTGATGTAGCCTCTGTTCCCACTGACCTGAACAGGAACAGAGAATTTGCTCATAACCTAAAATAGGCAGTTACCTTTCCCTAGAAAATCACTGGTAACAAACATCAAATGGAGTTTTGTGGTCAGACTGAACTCATTCCCAGTCAGGACTGGAGGATAAGAGGATGAAAATAAATTGGTCTCACTTATAAAAGGGAGGAGGAGTAAACACCGAGGAGTGCTATGAGAAGTACTATATTTAAAACTTCAGGTTAGGTGAAAATTTCTTACAGTTTTAAGGATTAAATGATAACAGAATTAGATAACAATACTCTTAACAATGTGCAACCCTTTACATATCTCTATAGGCAGAAAGCCCCAGATATGTAGCAGTAATAATCCATACTTCAGTCCACATAACTACTGAGGCCAATGGATCTCTAGGTATAAAACCAGCTATTCCTCTGTAGGCAAATGAATTATGCATTTTAACCAGCTTTTACAAGACTGAGAGCTGAGTGGCTGCCATTCATCTTCATATAAATATAAGATACAAATGAGTAAATAATTTTGAAGTGGAGTCTCTATCTATGGATTTTGACGTGTATAGCAGCCTTAGGATGGGGTTTTTTATGTTCTTACTGATTTAACGGCAAAAATTCGCACAAAATATGCAAAGAGCAGACAAAAGAGACTTACAATTGGAAAGTTTCATTGTATTTTGGGGACCACGTGTTGCTCTTTGTCTTGGTTCCATGTTTTCTTTTCTTGTCACTTAGTTTAGGGCCTAACATGCAAACTTCCACAAACGGCCGGAACATGGCTGTCGTTTGCCAGTTTAGATTATTAATTGCCACAACTATAAGGAAATAAAAGAAACAGAGTTAAATAAATTTCTGTTTGGAAGACTTCCAATTAATTACCCTGCATGACTTTGTATATCCAACAAAAGGTGACCTGAGAGCTTTCCTGTAGGATACCAATACCTGGCAAGCCCAGGAGGAGCTTTACCTGTTCTCTGCCAAGTAAAGGTGTCTGACTACTTTTGGGCTCAACAGTATCAAACATAAACATGTGTTTTACAAATCCTTTACATTTACAGCCTTTTTTTTTCTTGTCAGTTACCTTCACTGTAATTAAAAAATCAGCTTATACTAATCTGAGTGATACTGGGTTTCTCTCTGAAATTCAGGTTGTGCAGAACAAAGACATTGTGTTAAAAAGGCAAATTCTTAATGCTTAGTGCAGTCATTCACCAGCCGGCTTTGCTGCAGCTTTTAGAAAGTTAAATGATATACAAGCAATATAGAGGATATTTTGACACGTTTTAATTTATACCTCCAACTTTATAACTTAAATTTTAACTGTCTACACAGAGAAGCACAGACAGTACTTAAGTGCACAATCTGGACTTCTGTTGATGTTGAGCAAGGAAAAAGCACATTCCTAATCACCTGAAGCATACTCACAGCTTCACAAGGACTGTAATACTTAATATTTTTTATTATTGGTGTGTTTTACTTAGGATGTAGTCCTTGGGGGTTTGCTCTTTGTTGTTGCTTTCTTTTTAAGGTTAGCTGCTGGAAACTTACCTTTTACAGTGACTTTATGCTCCCCAGTTCCAGGATGTGTGGAGACATCCACCTGTATAGATATCTCACCCACGGAATTATTAGCAGTTTGAGCTGAAACAATAATTAATAGGTTAGCACATCTGGCTTCAGGAGATGTAGTGAAAGTTGAGTGGTATTTTCTGTCAGAAACACTTAGACATTTCTGACATGTGTTTCACATTTAAGTGTGAATCAGTTACAGATTCATAAATGATTTTGCCACAAAAGTACCTGGCAAAAGCAAATGTCAGTGTCAAGTGCCTCAATAAAATAAATTATCCTGTTCATCTGGAACTTTCCATTTTTGTTGTCATCAGATGTGTTTGTATCTAGAAATGCAAAAGTCGGTGGTTTTGTCAAACTTTGTTTCCTTCCATGTGCACCCCAAAAATCTTACTGACAGTAAGAATTTGGTAAGTTACTTCTGTGTTGTTATTGATGAATCCTTTACTGGGGGTTATGTCTCAGCAAACTATTAAAGTTCTTCAGTAGCACAGACAGAGAGGCTTAAAGAAAAAAGAGGAAGGTTGAAGGGATGGCAGAGGAACCAGAAACTTCAATTTTAAAAGTTTTGCTTTTGAGCACCAACAGAGGTTTTAAGTCAATTTGCACAGAATGATTCTTTTAAAGGATTCTCAGTATGTATTGAAAGGTCCATTAATATATCAGATTAGAACAGTACAACATAAAATTGGATGTGTTGTTCTTTGCTTGGGTGACTCTCAGTGTTGAATTCTGTGAGCTGCACTTGTGCCCCAGTGTAATCTCTGTGAACCACATACGAATTACTACCCCTTTATAACTGCCTACTGTTTCTGGGGGTAGCAGAGGAATGAATTCATCTTCCTTCTATTTATACAGAAATTCCTTACCCACTGGTTCCCCATCAATCTATATGTGAGGAGAATCAAACATTCCTTCAGAAGTTTTCCAGCAGTTCTTACAGGAATTAAGGAAGGGGTAGGGAGAAGAGTGTTTTATGTAATAATAAAGGGGGAAATGATTTCCCGCCACAAATTAGTTTATACCTAGAATATTTTTGTTCCTTTATCATGCATAGTTTGTTTTGTTGGGTTTTTTTCCTCTGAATTTCCTCACCAGTGGCTTCCTAGAAAGGAGTTCCACAGTGCTGTTTATTCATTGTGTTGGCATGATCTGTAATTACACTCTCTACACTGGATGAACACTGCAAGGTCAATTAAATTCTCTTACCCCAAGTGTTACTGCTTCAGAGAACAAGGTTTTTTCTTTTTTTTTCCCTGATATATCAAAATGTGGAAATTCAGTAATCATTTAATGTGCTGAGAACCTTGAACATTTTCCTGCATTTTCCAGCTTTCAGGTGAGTTTGGCTTGGAATTGTAATAAATCTACTTTTGGAATATAGTCAACAGTGTTTTAGCAAAAATATACAGTGTCAATATATTAATGTAGTTATAGCTACCACTTCTGAATTGCAGAGTACCTGTGTTGGATTCAGTAATAGGCAGAGGGTTTGGACCACTACTGACATAGAAAAAAGGAATTTATTAGATATCAGCTTTTTAATGACAAGCAGTTTAGTTTCAATTACAGCAATTAAGTTTCTTTTTGTATTTGCATAATTACTTAAAGCTGCACTCTAAGCTGGTGAACCATTCCTCATCTTGCTCACAATAAATAATGTGTAATTTTTGTTTAAGAACTTCTATAAAAAGTTAGGAATCAAATGGACCAGAAAAGCTAAATAAAATTAGTAGAATAGCTTTATTGAGAAGGGTAAACCAAAGTATTAGCCAACTACAGTAAAATTTGTTTTTATTTGGGAAGAGAAAGGGAACTCTCTTTGGTCAAGGTCATAAATTTAATGCTGATTTTCTTTTCTCTTGCAAACACAGTGTCCTTAGGCCATGTATCTGAGTAGCATGTTTTTAATGGAGTTACCTTTAACCCACAGTGCTGACTTGTGTGAAAAAGCCTTCCCTTATATTTTTGTGGATTAAATGAAGACAACACCAATAATTCAGAAGGCAGCTTATCCAGGGTAGAACTCCAATACTATACATGATATATATTTCTATATAGGGTGTTCTCATTGGCTTTGTGATGCTGTAAAGTAAATCAAAGAGAGTAGAGACTGGAGGTCCTGGAGCATTAATCTGTCTTGTTCTTTCATACTGCAAAATCCCACCTTTCTGAATTGTTATACAATGCATGGATTTCAAACTTAATGGGTTCTTTTTGTGGTGGTGAACATTTTTATGGACAATGCTTTTTATTCCATGGATAGCCTTCCTTCAGTTCTGAAGTTTGAGTTGAACATACTGTAACTCTTCAGTCTTTAATCTTTTGTTCTGATTGAAAAGCTCTCAATGCCAAGTTGGACAGGAGAAAAGAACTAGGAATTTGCAACACTTAAATCTTAGGGCCACTGAATGTGTAGGATAAACTGAATGTGCTGAGAGAATGAGAAGTTCTTGAACTCTCTCCCAGTCACAATTAATAATAATTTACTTCCGATTGCAGTGGAAGGTGAGTTAGGCTGATGCTGAATATCACTGAAAATATCAGGCAGTGCAAATTACTTGTTTTAGCCTCTAGTTTAAAAAACCCCAAACCAAACCCTGGTCAGGAGAAATCAGGAGTGTTGTAAAAGAAAATAATTAGCATTTTTTTTTAGATAGCTCAGGCAACAGCCTGTGGATGATGCTCATAGTGGAGTTTGCTCTGTTAACCTCTAACAGTGCCATGTATGATTTTACCAAAACAAAAATCTATGAATCTGTAAGATAAGGCTTGCTCTGTTTCTCCAAATTTTTAATTAACTTATGCAAAGGATATTCTTGCAAAGGTCTTCTAACAGATCTCCCATTCCTTCTCCTGATAGGCCGTAATTCACAACACTGCTCTAAGCAGTACCAGAGATCTATGGTGGGATTAGCCCTGTGTGCACAGATCTGCTTGATACGGTTATAAAGAAACCTCTGCAAAGCATCCCATGGTTTTGTACTGAAAGCAGCTGACATTAAAATGATCCTACATTCAGTATTGCTGAGGAAACCTCCTGCAGCAGAATGTCTCAACCAGCAGAGACAATTTCTAGTGGAGTCTAGAATATAAACTCGTTTTCTTTCAATGACCACCCCATCCATCTTTCTCTCTCTTTCTGACCTGCTGAGCAAACTAGAGATACAATTTTAGGACATTCAATATTTGCTTAGAGCAGCTCTTGTTGACGTTCAAGAACTGTGGCACCTAATTTTAAAGTCTCTGATCTGCCTATTTCTGCTGGGTTTTGTTTTCTTTCTTGCTACCAGTTCTTGTAAAGTCACAGCAGGAATTAGTGACTCTGATTGCACTACAGAAAGGTCCATTTATCCTACCACATCTAATAAGCCAATTTAACTGACAGTAAATATCTAGCCCTGCACTGCAGAGGATGACTGCACTTCTCTTCCTTTAAGTGCTGTAATATAACTCATTCAAAGATTAGCAAACTTGTAAATGATTTTCCTTTGAAAACCTTATGGATATTTAACTATTGCTGCTTGCACTCTAAACTCTGCTTTACATTTTATTTGTTAGGATATTCATGTGATTTAAAATACAGCATGATAATCATGGTCATGGTAGTGATATTGGCTACATATGCACAGAGAAACAAATTCCCCTGCCTTCTATTGTTTTGTAGGTATCTTTGGAGAAGTGTGAACTTGTGGGCTCTGGTAGAGAAAACAGCAGAAAATGCAAGGGAAAAATGGGTCATGTATATTTTGTAACAACAGAAGCTCCCTGTATTTTCTATGATGATATTCCTGCTAAATGCAAGAGAATCCTACTGAATCAATCTGTGATTGTGCACAAAAGCATTACTGTGGAAGGGCTCCTTTGTGCTCCTTGATCCCTTAGAAGCAAGAAGTTTTCAAATGAGGAGTACTTTGGAAAATGACTTCTAGTTTTGCATAATAAAAGACCCCAGCAGAAATAAATGGGATTCACAGAGGATGAACTAGCATAAAATTTAAGAACAGAATTTCAGGCCTTGAAATGGCAGGAGGAGTACAGCTGGTGGAGTGTACTTTTCAGCTGTTCTGGAAGTTGAGGCATGGAAACTGGGATGCTTTCATGAGTTCTTAAAAAAATAATGGAAAATATTCAGAGCAGTTTGGTTTGGAGGCTCCAAGGAGCATTGGTATGCAGCATGGACCTCAATGAGAGTGACAAAACGAACCTGAGAAGCTGAGGTAATGATTGTGCTGTTCACAGGTCTCAGCTCTGACTCTCCAAACACCACAGCTATGCTGCTGTGAATAGTTAAGAGAGCAGAGCTTGTACATAATTACTAATGTATCATTTCATGATGTGGAACATCATCTGCCTTATGTACTGTCTGATGATAACAATTCCTTCATTTGAAACAGCTTTAAGATCTTTTGATATTCATCTTCCTGTTGGTAGTCTCACATAAAATCCTTAAATCTGGAGGAGGTTTTATTTGAGGGTCTGTTTCTCACAACATAAATGATAAAAGACATTCTTGCATAACAAGAATTCTTTTTCTGCTGCAAAGTCATCTTGTAGCAAAAGAGAAGAATAATGGAGTGTTTTTGTCATTCTTCACCTAGGGACATATTATTTTTGTTTTATCCAATAACAATTACAGCTTTCAATAACACAGATTTTATGCCTTTTCCCTGTCTTTTTCTTTCTTTTTTTTTTTTTTAAATGCTGTACTCCAGAAGCATTAGTTGGTAAAGTGTTTGTGGTCTATGCAATGCCTTTTCTTGTTTATTGGTGCTTGCAAGGACAATTCTAATTATACAGTCATATTTTAAAACATGCCCTTTTCTTCCCAAGTGTTTATGAGAGCAATATGCAGCTAATCATTGTCTCTCTGAGCCTTTCCCCAAACTTGCATTGCATTCATAAAGCTTATAGGATTTGTTTGGGAAATTGTGTTTTATTCAAAAGTTCTGTTTTATTAAAACCCCCCAAATCTTATCAGTTAATGATGTAGATTGTGTTTTTCCTCACCCTTCTGTCGAGTTTATAGATCTGTTGAGCCTTAAGTATAGGGTTAAGTTGTCAGAGTG